CCCCAAAACCCCAAAACCCCATAAATAATTAAATTCCATCACAAAAAGGAATTAAGAAAATAAAATTTATTTATTTGTCATATTATATTTAGTATAAAAATAAAATATAAGTTCGATTAATGAAAAACTTTTCTTCAACTAATAATATTCACTTATTCTTTCTTTATATTAATAATGTAGAACAACTATCCAAACAGTTAAGACATCTTAATACTCAGCTTACCTGCTGGGGCATGTCTTTTTCTTTCAATAATCTTATTTGAGAGTATATTTTCCATCAGCGAAATAAGTGAACATTTGAGTCTCAACTAACTGCTATAAGAACTCTCTGTCATTTTGATCACATTTTTATATGATTAGTTATTTAGCATCTTCAACAGATGCAAGCTTTACTTTCTAACTCAAGACATCTATGGGCAATAGATTAATTATGAAAACCTTAAGAGAAAATTTCAATTGAATTGCTATTCTGTTTATTTTCTTACTAATGACCTCTACCTCTAGAGGCTCAGAATAATCCCGATTATTGATTTAATCAAAGTATGGCGTAAGATAGTCAACAAGAGAATGAAAGCAAGGATTAATAAAATTACCGCCACTTTCAGTAATTTCAACTTTATTCATATCATCTTTGAAATCAACAAGCAAGCACTAGTTAGTAATCTCAGACCACTCAATCAATTACTATTGTGATCTAAGAATGCCCACAATAAATGGGGTTGGAGCACCTGTTATCTCTAATAGATCCTATGGAAGTACTGGAATTGATGTGTGACACCATTCAAATGGCTCTAAGAAGGTTTAAATTCCTATAACTTCAGCTGAAAGTGTGGGTAAGTTGTCTGATATAAAAATAATAGATGTCTCCAGAAGCAATGCAGAGACAATTCTCATGAAGTCACGGGCTTTCATCATTGGAAGTAGCTGAGGTCCATACCAGTTTAGTTCATTTATTTAAAATAATCTATGTTGTTAAGCAATGTCAAAGTTCAAATTCAGATTTTGATCAGCCATTTACATTTTCAAAGTTTGTACCCCTGAACTCATTTCATTATAATTTTTAAGCAATTTTTCAATATCTTTAGTTATGATAGGCATTTTAAAAGCTACTTCCTTTTGCAGGTCAATGTCTGAAAAGATTTATTTTCTAAATTATGATTCTAATTTTATCCTCTCATTCTTAAACAAACTGAATACTGAACCTAGAATTTGCATATGGAGATCATAGTAATTATAGAGCGATAATATACAGTATGCCTTTTCAACTAGTAGCATGTGTCTTTTCTTTCCCAACTAATATTCAACCAGTTCTTTTTTAATAACTCCCAAGACATATAGGCACTTGTATTTATTTAAATCGTACCCATCTTCTTCTTAAAGTGGGATTGTAAAGACAAATGTATTTTTCTTAGACGGATTAATATCCTAATTTTAAAAATAGTCCTAGAGTTTATGATCTTGCATAATCCTAACAAAGACCCCACAAGGAAAGCAAAATCCCTTTATTTACTGTCGTTTTTAATCTATTTTCTTGAGAGATGGATCAGTGAATAAGTATTAAATTTTAGATTCTAACTAACTACTATTATCTTTAGTTAGCTCATCGATGTCAATTGTTGATATATCAGCTGAGATAATTAAGAAGTCGCTAAATATTCTATCTGAGTCACTTGGTTTGATTGAGTTGCCAAGTAGTTTTTGCAAATTTTACTTACTAAAAATCGATGGGCGACTCATTCTAATTGTCTGGTGATTGTCTGTGATTAAACTGAGATTTTCGTCAAATATTGTATTTCTACCATAAAGGCTATTTTTATTTTCAGATGATTATTCTTCTTTACTTTTGCTATCACTTTCAAACACATAGGGATCAGATGCCTCAAGACTTGCCATGCTTTATTCCTTTTCATCAATTACCTCCTACTTCTTATTTTCATTTTCATTATACTTCTTTTTAAAGATATCATAAATAGCAAATGCGTTTTCAATCTTTACCTTCGACTAAGAAAATATAATCCCCCATAACTCATAATCCACATTTTTTCCAACCCCAAATAACTACTTATTCTGCAATTAAAGGACAAAGTCAAATAAGGACATTTGGGAATCATCATGGAATTTACTTGTAGACAATAGCCTAATGCAGAGCCTGCTTAAGCAGAAATAAAAATTTTTAATTAGTGCTGGCTCTTCACTTAGTATATATTCAATCACTGTTTAATCATTCTGACTTATAGGAACCTTAAATCTCTCATTAACATTAGAAATTAGCAGATCAATCAATCTCTTCTCCAATGATTCGTACACACTAATTAGATGAGATATTTATATTTCTTGCAGCAAGTATTCGTCATTAAGACCCTAAGCTAATTTGTCTAATCTGTACTCCTAGAAGTATATGCCTAGATTCATTGTTGGGGATTCAGCACATTAATACAGATAATTTAATGCAGTCTTAAATTCCTGGTAGATTTCATAAACCTAGTAGTCTGATTTTATATTTGAGGAGATATGCCTGGAGTAAGAGCATTTTTACTAAGGAATTGTTTCGTATATCTCGGAGATCTATGAATACAGATTACCCAGATTTACATACTGAAAGTTTAGCTTCTAAGTCTGTTCTTCCAAATCAATAACGTGCTTGCCCTTAAAGAGATCCTCAATAGTTGAGTTTTTAATCATTTGAATGTTATACTCCACTTGCATACCTTGTCTATATTTCAGACTACAGGCACTATTCTTAATTATGATTTGTTCGAATTTTTCCTCCTCAAACTTTCTCTCCTCTTCCTTTTGATTAGGAATCATATTGGCTAAACTACTTTCTATATTGCTTTCTGAATCTTGTTTATTTACAAGTACAAATTGTTCCTTTGACTCTTCTTTTTGCGATAAACCTAATTTTCCTCTGTTAGATTTAGGCTCTTACTTTTCTCTGAAGTAAATAATTTGTTCTTTTCTGAGATTAAGTAACTATATTCTTGGAAACTTAATTGAATTGATATTATTTTCGTTGAAAAGCTTCTCAGCTTAATCTAGGACATTATTCTACTTAATAGCTAAGTATTTAAGCAAAATATAGAAGATATGTCCTGGCTAATCAATTTTATCCTTAGTCAAGCAGCATAAGATTAGTTTTGACTGGTCATTGATTTTGGGAATAACAACTTCTACTCCTTTATCTTTCTGATAGTCTCTAATGATAAGTCCAGCAAAGCTATTCCAAGCATTCTTGAATTTCTTATAGTCCTTTTCAATTCTCTTTTAATAGTCCTTGCTGCTTTGATTTTGATTGAAGTCTCTCTGTATGGTTTCTATCAGAGTCATCTCATTAGCTTCATCATAGGTAAGTTAAGTGTTCCACTTGTCAAAAATGTATCTAGCCCATTGAACCAATGGCTTCAAATTTCTAATACTTCTTAGAGATTCTTTCTGCTCAAATATGATTCTAAAGAAATCTGAGTACTCCTTCTTATCGTTTGAGTCCTTAGGATCATCCTTAATGTGCTGCTCAAATTAACTAATGTTGATGATGTTTGTATTCCTAAGAAGCTAATAGTAATCATTAGCTCCCACCTAGTTAAATTCCTGCATATATTTCTGCATCTCAGTCCTACAGCCAATCTGAATTTCGAAGAATTTAGAAATATCATTGAATACTTAGTCACAGAGACTCTTAAAGCTTTGTTCAAGTTATTCTCTCCCTTTAAGATCTTTCAAGAGTTCAATATTAAAAGCACTATTCTGGTTTTTAACGATCCCTAGAATGACGTAGTGAATAAGCTCTGCAACTTTCTCATCATTAATGAAATAAGTATTTCTCAAAAATTCCCAATCTTTGTTAAGGCATTGTGAGAGATATTTAAGAGTCCTTTGCAGATAGGTGTCATAGGTTTACCCAGAGAAAAGGTAGTCAATCAGCAATATTCCCATTATCTCATTATCGTATTAAGTAAATGCCAAACTAAGCATAAACACACTGTGCAAGATTATTCTTCCGACAGCTAAGTGCGAATTCTTGAGATTTCTAACCTTAATGTTTTCATAATTCTCCAAGTCAAAGGCAATATATGAAGGCTTTCCAAGCTCATTAGTATTTTTAATCAATTTATTCATATCTAGCTGATCATGATCTTAAAGTGTTCCTTCACATGCCTTGTCACTCCACTTGGTATCTGTGTTTTTACATTTCCTCTCACCGTGCTGAAAGAACTTTGATTTGGGATGCTTTTCATTTGAAAGCTCAATTCTCAATGTAATCTGACCACATTTCATGCATTTTAAGCTAGATAAGTTCTCATTATTCTTGAACATTTTGTGATACTCTGAATCTCCTTAGAAATTCTACACAAATGGCACATAGTTGTCCTTAATAATCAATGGCTTCAAGTAAAAATGCGAAAGGAAAGTATTTGGATTGGCGAAGGCAGCTGCACCAATCATCATCCAAGTCAACTTAAAGTGGAATTTTTCATTAGGCATTCCATCTATTCTAACAAACTTATTTCTCGAAAGTTTGACAAAGTCATGATCAACAAAAGTTCTAATGAATTCTTTAAAGTTTGGATCTTAGAATAATTGACCTCCTCCTTTTATCTATTCAAATTAGGTCTAAGATACTTCAGCATCTCTTCTGCTTAGATAATAGTGATCAATAACCGCCAATATTTAATAGAATCTTTAAGGAGCTTCAGTAGATCTATTATATGAAGTAAGGTTGGTAATATTATTAAGTTGCTCTTTAAATATCTTGGATTCTGGCTAATTGATTATGGAGAACTTAATAATCTCTTAGTCTTATTATATGTCAGCAAATTCCTTGAACCATTCATTTAGAAGTAGAATTGACTCCCTGTCTTTCCTCTCAAAATCGTACTTTTTATAGATCTGCTTCATTACATAAATTCCAAATGGCTTCAAAGCTGTTCTCTGGAGATCTGAGTCACACAAGAAAAATGTCCTAAAGACTTAGGCCATTTCTTCAGCACTTGACTCTTCCCCATCTTTGTAAAAAGAGATCTCCTCCACATATATCTTTGTTATTTTCTTAAAGCATGCTACTGCCACATAGATCTGCAGAGGCGTCATCAACTTTTAGTTCATTAAAATCTATCTTGCTTATTCCATTATTTATTCAATAGCTATAGAGTCATTTTCCTCAAATGGATCTAGTATGATAGTATCTTCAATCATGTCAACCAGCGCCACTACAAATGGGTCACTAAATCTAATAAAATCCCCATTTTATTAAGAGACCACTTTATTTAAGAAGGCATGGAGGATCTTGATATTTTCTAGTTTTTTATCATTTAAGTTTTACTCAAATTTCTCTTAATCAAAGTAAACTATCTTCTAGAATGTGTTTGATTCTAAATTTTCAATAATTTTGATAACCATTTTCACTAAGTTATAGAGATTAAACTTAAAATAGTCTTTCTCCTGAATGTGATTAAGTTTACCCTGAGGGTCTATCAGGAATATTATAACTTTATTAAGTAAGAAATTAAGATTAATGGTGTCATTAATTTGGAATGAGTCAATAATGTATTCAATAGCAAATTGATATATCAAGTATCTTAGTTCAATATCGTGATTTTATAACCAATATCTATCCATCTATCCCTATAAATAGGTGAAAATCTAGTCTGGTTTATTGAAAATATTTCTAATATCATGAGCGAATTCTGCAAAAACATTAACAGCGTCACTAGGTTTCAAATAATCAATAATTTATTTGTGGAATTTCAATAGGAATATAATGACTCTTGACTCGAATGTCTGCGTCACTCCCTAATAATAGAATGACAAATCATTTAATCTCTAGAATGTCTGCTTAACACTCTACTCCCAGTATTTCATTTTGAATTGAGGGTTCTCAGTAGGATAGTAAATATCATAGAACACCTTGATAATGGATTAAACAAAAGTCTCCTTAGGGAAGTACTTAATATCAGGACTTCTGAAGTATTCACTTCTTCTCATTTCCTCATCAAGTTTAGAACCAATTTTATCTAATGACATGATCTTAGCATTTTCCTTGATAATTTTCCAAACATTGAAGAGAAGGTTTTCGTACTTCCAATAGATGCCGTAAATCTGAGACTTTGAAAGTTGCTTATCATTCTAGATCCTGTCCTTCAAAAAGAGAGTTAGAGATGTCTTTATGTATCTCTTGTACTCTTCAATATAATCGGTCTGGCCTACAATCTAAGTATCACTTTTAATTGAGTCTTGGTTGTTAAGTAAATATGAAAAATCCTCAAGATACTGAATGTTATCCTCAGTCAACATATTTTGATCAATATACTCCTTAGGGAAGTAAATCTTGCACCATTCATCAAGGTCAACTATGTTCTTTGCAAGATGCTGATCCTTGCTTAGAATTAACCTATACCTAGATTGCTGCTCTCTTTCTTGCTTTTTGTGCCTGCTACTTAGGAATCTATCCATTTAATTAAGCTCAATCATGCTTAAGTCCAAAAATTCATCTTCTCTCTCGAACATTTTAATACTCTTTTGTATCATCTTTTTTTCATCTTGTCTCTTATCATTCTTCATAAATTAGATCTTAAGCTGTTAGAATTACTTATGAATGACTCTCGCAAGTGGGAACTTTATTCTGTCGAAATTCTCTGTTAAGTAATACATATCTTGAATTCTTTGGTTGATGTAGTTATTCGTAAATAGATTATTAAAGTACCCCTTGGCCATTTCAAATAGAAGAGGATTGTCAAAAGCAGTAATTATACCATCTTATTCCAAATAGAATATGATAAAAGCTAAATGTCTTACAAGTTCGCTCTTCAAATACTCAATAGCAGCACTGTGAAAAGTCAAATTGCTTCTCATAAGGAAATCATTTGTAACTATGTCATCTTTCCAGGATGCTTTCATCTGCTCATACTTTTCATTCTTGCTAAATTTCATTAGAATTAGCTTCTTTAAGAACGAATTGTTCTTCTCACTGCTGAATATTTCTTGTATTCTAGATATTCTCTTCTAGATGATATCTCTATTTTTCTTATAGTAGATCTTTGATATAGCTTCAACCAAACTCTACTCAAATATCTAATCTTTGTTATGAGTGGACACTGCACCTCCATTTACATCTTATTTTGACTCGCTTTATGTTGCTACAATACTTAAGAGGGAGTCTAGATCTTTGTTCATCAGATCTTAAAGATCAATGTCACTCTGCCCTTTACCGTTTAACAAGTCTACTGTATATTGCCTCCAGTCTTTACCAAAACTTATGTTGTAGTCATTGTCCTCCTTCGTTTGATCAAGTTTTATGATAAGACAAACATGTTTTGCAGGTGCATCAGCATAATTAGGATTCTTCTCTATCTCAAGAAGTCTCTTTGTTCTCTAATTATTGATTTTACTTCTACAAAGATTGATGATATTCTTGGAGTCGTTCAACTAATCAGCAAATATCAACAGCAATTCCTTGTTGTTTTCAATTGAGAAGAAATTCTCAACTAATAGTGAAAATTATTTTTTCTTGTGAATACTGCTTAGTACAATCTTTTCTTCAATCGAAACTACTTTGCTTAGTAACTCTATGTCAAATTAAGTTGAGAATGTGTAGATTATTAGGTTGAATCCTCTGATCTTTTCAAAACATTTCTCTCTCATCCAAATTCCTTAATAGTATTCAATCAGGCTTTGCATGTTATAATGATGATTCTAATCAATGTATTCCCGATACCAGTCCTCTCTGTCAGATACTTAGGTTAGCTTTGATCTTATGATACCTTAGAATGTGGCAACTCTAATTAATGCTCTCTTACTTTCCTTAATAATTGTCTCCTCATCATTCCCATAGATATCTTTACATTGAATAACTAATTGCTGTAATGATTGATTTTCGTCAATAGTAGGAAACATTGATCTCTTGCTAAAATTCTAATGAGTGCCAATCTAATGCAACCAAGTAATAAGCTTTTGTTTTATTTATCTTAAAGATACATTCATGCTAATGTCCTCAGTAAACAGC